AAATATATAGCTAAAAAGGTGTAGATGTGACTGTCATTGACGTCTTTCCACGGTATGGTTTACTATTTGTAATGCTCTTTGTTTGTGTATTTGCATTAAAGAAAACAATATTTAGCTTTATCATTCACACAGGACACAATATGGCTTTATAACATCAGGTGTCATATACTTCTTGAAGCAATCAAGAACACTTATGTTTTCACTGAGGCCTACAGCAGTGTTGACTCCCGAAAAGCTACGCAATAATTCTGGCTCTGAATTAGGTCTTTTATCATCAAAGATTTGAGGTACACAAGTCCAACCAGAAGACATTTGCAAGGTCTCGATTTCATCAGCACTAAATGACTCATTTTCACCTTCAAAACTTTCATCACTTTCATTTTCTAAGTCACTTTCATCTACAATATATTAACTTCCGCTATAAATAGCATCTCTCTCAATATCAGACATTTTGACGTCTATAAAGCAAGATCAAAATGACCAAAAAATACTACGACCCTTCACTCTTCAAAACCACCTAAAAACTAATTTCACCGGGTGTGGTACCTGGGTATTAGTCTTCGTCTCTCGAGGCTAACCATTGGCTAATTTGCTATGACGTCATTACTATTTATAGCCAATACTTTGAAAACTCAAGTTATGGTGCCATAGCTCACTTCCGAAAAAATAGAACCATACATAATAAGTGATAGTTCATGACTATCAGGCGTTTGTCGTCGTCGTCGTCGCGGGTGATGGGCGGTGCCGTGACGAGCGCATGTTCGTCATCGTAGTGAAGGGGTTAATGGTATGAAAGTACTAGGTCGTATAAATACTAGGTCAGGTCGGATTATTCAATAATAAAAAAAATATATGGCAACAAATCAGGAGAAATGACCCAACACTTCTAGTTAAAAACTTAAAAGAGTAAAGGTAACTTGTCTTGCATGTGGAATGACTGATTTTCGACCAGGTGGTTAGGGCGCTCGACTCGCAATCTGAGGGTCGCGAGTTCGAATCTCCCGTCACACCAAACATGCTCGCTCTTTCAGCCGTGGGGGCATTATAATGTGACGGTCAATCCCACTATTCTTTGGTAAAAGAGTAGCCCATGAGTTGGTGGCGATGACTAGTTGCCTTCCATCTAGTCTTACACAGCTAAATTAGGGATCGCTAGCGCAGATAGCTCTCGTATAGCTTTGCACGAAATAAAAAACAAACAAAATAAAACAAAAGACTAATTTTCAACGGCTAGGATACTTTGAAGCCAAACTACTGGCAACAAATAGCACTGTAGATCAATGTTTTATTGTCATTAAACACTTGGCCGTATCTTGTCTCATTGGATGAGACTTTTTTTAAGCAAAATAAAACTACCTTAAGCTTCTTCTCAAATGGTCTTGAATTAAATATACCATATCTTAGGCGTGACTGCGAAATTGAAAAGTATTAATCAAAGACGTACAGTGTTCACATTTGAAGAGTAAAGACAGCAAACAGTTAAAATAGTGTTACGACAGCGTAGGTCACGTGAACCTTGTATCACGCCACTTCCTTCTCGAACCTTCATGAAATGTCGGGAGACTACTAGATTGGGGTATTTTTGTATATATAAGACGGTCACAAAGTAGGCAACAATGTATGTAATTGAACTGAGTATTGTTGAGTCGAGCACGTGAGCGTTTGTTATAGCGCGACTGTTGAAATTAAGTGTATCGCAAAGTTATATTCAGAAAGAATAAACAAGTTTTATTTAGGAAAGGACTTCTATCGGTAAAGTTTCTTCGGAAAGAATTTTTACGGAAAATTAAATAACGAAGGGAGACGTTACAATAGATTGTATTAAAATATGAAGATATTTTTAACAATAAGCCTGGTCTCGCAGATTTGTCGGAAAGTACTATTGTAACAACCAGTGTTTAGTAAATTCTATCCTTATTCTACCACTAAATTACAAGTGCTGCATGATTAACTGGATGAAATGCTCCATGATGGTTTAATTGAGCTCTCCACTTCTTATTAGGTTTCTCCACATTGTCAATAAGAAGACTGTTCATTTTAGATTCCATGTGGATTACAGAAAATTAAATCAAGTCTCAGAATCTGACCTGTCCATTGCCTCATATAACCAATATTTTGTATGCCTTGTCAGATATGACCTGTACTGGTACATTAGACTAATTAAGTGGATATTGACAAATTTCTATTAAAATGGAGGATCAACATAAAACTGCCTTTATAACTGATAATGGACTTTATAAATGTAAAGTGATGCCTTTTGGTCTGCAAAATGCACCTGCCATCTTCCAAAGATTTATGGACAAGGCTTATATTGAAAGACGAAGAGTTAAGCACATTTTTTTGTGTATTGTGCCTGCTATAATCAGTTTGTTTCAAACTTTGCCATAACTGTTGCGAGGGAAGCATATCAGGTGGAAATGGAACTTAAGTGTTGAAACACATTCCAGAAAACAAAGCAAACTTTATATAAATCCCCTGTCTTGCAACTTCAAAAAAAAAAGTTAACAGTATTTTTTTTCACATAGATGCCTCAAAGGTTGGATTGGGAACAGTTCTGCGTTAGAAGGGTGTCATACCATATGCTGGTTGAATTGAACTTCGAAAAAAGAAACTATGCCATTACAGAGCTAGAATGTCTAGCCATAGTCTGGGCTGTATAAAAGCTTAAAATATACCTAGAAGGAGAATAATTTAATAACTGCTAATGCTGCCTTGAAATGATTACAAAAAGCTCAGAAGATAACTAGTAGACTGATGCACTGATCATTATAGTTGCAGGGTGAATATTTGAAATACCTTACAGAAAAGAAAAAGAGTTACCTAATGCCCTATCTAGACATTCTACTGATCTCCCAGAAGTTTGGATGTCTGTAAGCCATCACCTAATCGTTTTGCCATTGTCAACTTTAGCACTCGAGAACATTTGGCTACTGAAGAAGATAAAGATCATGATTATGAGCATATTTACTCTTACTTGAAACTGGACAGTTGTCAGATGATTGTACTATAATTACAGAAACTATAATAAATCCAAATACTATGTCTTGAATGAAAATGTTCTTTATTACACAAAAAATGGTTGCTAGGAATGGTGAATTCAGACCATTTATTCCCAAAACATTAAGATTGGAGTTATTAATAGGCTTGCATGATCATCTTGTGGCTGGTTATCTAAGTGTTAGAAAAAACATAGACAAAGTATCCAGACGTGGTTCTGGCCTGGTGTGAGACAGGACATTAAAAATTATGCGCTCTCATGGCACGTCTCTTAAACCACCAAATTGGATCAGAAATTACCAGCAGGGTTTATGCAAAGCACCAGACTTTTGGAACCTAGTAAGATAATGGGAGAAAATATTATGGAACCTTATCCTAAATCTACTACCAAGAATAGTTATTTGTTCGTTGTAACAGATTATTTAAGTAAATGGGTCGAATTGTTTCCTCTCAAACAAATAACTATTAAAGTGATCGTGAAGAAATAATTAATCAATACCTGTGTAGATATGGAATTCCAAAGACTTATAACCGATAATAAACCCCAAATCATGTCTCATTTATTGGATGGAATTTGTAAAGCTACGGGAACTAAACACATCTTGACCACTTCATATCATTCTCAGTTTAATATTGTTACGACAGCGGAAGTCACGTGACTCTAGTAACACGTCATGATATTCTCGAAGGTTCTTTAATGCTCGAGTGTTTACTAGATGTGCGGTATTCTTGTATATACGACCGCCAAGAAGTGACGGCAACAATGGAATTGAATTGCAGACAGAGACAGAGAAGGACAATTGAGTCAAGCGCGTGAATCGTTCGTTGTGAATTATAGCGTAACTGTGGAAATTAAGTGTATTGCAAAGTTGTATTGAGAAAGAATAAAGTAGTATATTTAAGAAAGGACTTGTATCGCTAAAGTTTCTTCGGAAAGAATTTTTACGGAAAATTAACAAACGAACACAGAGGCGTAACAATATTTCTGAAATAGTAAATACACATATAAGTAGAATGATATTTGCCTACACTGAGAAAAACCATCGGACTTTGGACATGCAATCATTTACCTGAATATTTTCTATTCATGACTCTATAGGTTACAGGCTAGACAAACTCTATCTAGGACAAGAGTTCTTCCTTCCTTGGGACCGACTGACGAAATATCCAACATCATCGAACTCAAACGGAGGATGAGCGAAAAAGAAAATTGTAATATGTCATACAAAAAGCAAGATCCAATGTTGAAAAGGCTCGGAAGGGACAGCAGGTAGCTTAAGACCGTAATTTAGTAATGCACAGGTACTTTTTAAACAGATGACTTAGTACTATTACTGTTATCCGTTATATTTTGCAGGCACGGATTTACTTACTGTCTTTCTTTGTAAGTGATACAACTTGTATTCCTATTGTTTGAAGGTTTTATTTTGGATTTCAGTTGTTGTTACTATATAATCAATTGTTGTTGTTTTTGTTCGATTCTGGTTGTAGTGGTGTTTTGTTGTACTTCACTATAGATGTTAGGTTGATAGTGATATTCTTAAAAGTTAAACTCGTCTTGTACATCACGTTCTGTGATTATGTGTAATTGAATTTGAAACAAAAGAAGTAGGCTTACAAGTTAACATAAAAAATGAAGAAATAACAATTAGTTGGTAGTTGTAACGTAATAATTCCAAAAAATGCCAGTTAACACGTACACCTTTATTAACGCTTAAATCGCTAATTTCAAATTCAGTGCATGTAGATGTTATTGTTATACTAAAACTCGATAATTGCCAAAGTAAAAGAAAAAGAAATGCCTTATTCCTATTGTATTGCAATTTTAATTTAATTATTTGCGAGTTGTCTGTAAATTATATATTATAAACCAACGTGAAGATTATATAAATAATAAACCCATAAGGCAGATGACGTTCAGTTCAAACTTCAATACGCATAGGTATTATTATTAATATAGATTTATAAAAATCGTAAGTGTAGAATTAGAAGAGTTATTTCAATTGTATTCTGTGACTAATCAGTTTTTGTGAGTTGGATATTACTGTTAGTAGCCATAAACCAACGTGGGTGATATGTAATAATTCCGTGATGACGATGCCATTCAGTTTCTCTGGTCATGTTCGCACTTTCGGCTGTGGGGTAATCGTAGTGTGGGGGTCAGTCCAAAAGAATTGGTGGCTAATGGTGTTCACTAACTGCTTTCCTTCTAGTTCTAGTCTGTCACGGCAAAATTAGGAACTGCCAGCGCAGATAGCCCTAGAGTAGCTTTGTGTGAATTTCAACAAACAAATATTTCAGTGCACATAGCTATTATATTAAAACTTGCAAGAAGCCGATAGCCAATATTGTGGAAACTTTATTCATAATGTGTAAATGAAATCAGATTTAATTATTTGCAAGTTTTGTGTTAGTAGTTATTAACTAATGTCGATACTACATAAACACATAAGGAAGATGCTGTTCAGTTCTCCGTTTTAATCAGTTTTCTATGGAGTCTTGCACACACTTAAAACAACTTTATAAAATATAATTTATTATTTTTAATACTTCATTATTTCCTCTCACAACTTAAAACTGGTTCTTCATGTAAAACCTAACTGCCCTGACATCATATGAGTTGTATTGTAGTGATAGGCTGATAGTAATCATAGTATTGTTCAGATTTGGAAGTTTTGAGAATACAGTTTGTGTTAGAATGAATTTGGTTCTTAATAGATGCATTTGTGAAATTAAATAAAAATTTACAAGCATATTATTTCGTTTTTGTTGATTGTTATGTGTGATGATGTTAAGTAAGTACACAAACTGTTTATCTCAAAATGTTTTATTTGTTTTTACTTTCTTGAAATTTTTTGCATTATGAAAGTAATATGTATATTTTTAATATGAGAAGGGTAGAGCACTAGTTGTCTGTTTTCGTGCTGGTCTCACTACTGCCAATGGCAGTATTTCCCAAAGCCAACCTTATGACAAAAATGAAACCGTCATAACTGGACTCTAGTCTGTGTTTCCTAAATTTTAAACTTATGGTGTATTATCCTATTGTCTTCAAAATACAGCTCACACTTACCATTAAACACAAGTAACCTTTCTTTTTTCAAGAGAAAATAATTTTAAAGACCTTAACTTGTCCTTGTATGAAACTATAATAACAGCCCTCCAAAGAATCATTCTGTTAGCCCTTTTTTGAGCCCTTTCCAGCAACTAAATGTTCTTCTTAAAGATAAGAGCTCAGTATTGAACATAATACTGTGATAGTTCATGATAGAGGAGAGTGAATACCAGATACAATGTACAGGAATACTGAAAAGTGTAAATATGCATTTTTGGAGGTTCTTGAGGTTAAGCATTGTAATATGCAAACTTCATGGAGGCTATGCAAATGCAATGTGCAAACCGTATGATGGATAAAAGTATTTTTATTCTTCACATGAACACCTTGCACTTTGACTTGCTATATTTTGAGTCAGATTGATGTTGTCATTTCACAGACATACAGTAAGTGCAAATTCTTTTGGAACACATCTGACTGTTTGAGTACAACAGAGTTGTACATTTTGCTAAAAACTTGTCACATTTCATAAAGATACAATTAGTAAATTAGGAATAATAGTCAACATTCCTTCTCTAGTATGATGTTAGTCCACTAGACTGACCCCATGCATTTGGTTGAGAAGCATCAACAAAGTATTTTTAAAACTAGATATGTAATATTGTGGACTATATATGCTGTAACGTGCTACTGTTTGGCTAGTGGAATTCTAGCTATTGTGACAGGTTCAAGGCTTCTTTCTGTGAAATACAATAAATACATTCGTTAACATAATTCCTGGTTACCCTGTATATAAATGTATAGGTAGTGAAATAGCAAAACATTAGGGATTTAGTTAATGAAATTGAAAGTTTCTTAAGGATCATAAGCATGGCCATTTTGAACAATGGGCAAAAGGGGCAGTTGCCCAGGGCCCATTGCCATCAGGGGCCCTCTGCACATTACGAGTATAATAATAGTAATAACATATGAAGTGTATAATAAAAGAATAGTAATAAACCATTTTTTAAAGAAATATATATATTTCTCATTTTTTATTTCCTTCATTTTTATTATCACTAATAAATTCAGTCCATAAAATTGTATGGTATACTTTGCCCAAGACCCATGATTCATAAGACATGTAGTGGACTTTATTGAAAGCATCTTTGAAATAAGTACTTGTTATGCAGACTAAACTATATATCTTAAAATAATCTTTCAGTGAAGTTTCTCATTTTCCAAAACACCTCGTACAGAGTTAAGTTTGAACCAGCTATAGCGAAGAGATAGAACAAAATGCATGAGAGATATGGTTACCGAATGATTTAGTTTGTGTTACAAAACAAGTTGAGTTTTTCTTCATGGTTTTATACGAATAACAAATATTTTCATCATACAGTCATTTATCTAGGAAAGAAACATTTAGTAAAATGAATGGAAAGCCTTTTTAAGTATGATTGGTTATAATAATTAAACATTACATTTTGAAAATCATATTAACCATTTTTCAAGATGAACCCACTAATAATACTATTTTCACTTTTAAACTAAATTTTATTACTTATAAATAGCTATTCCATAAGTGGTTATATAGTTATTAAGCCATATGTTTTCAGTGAACAATTCTTCTATTCCCCTTGCAGTTTTCTATGAAGTGTCACATATATTTAAAACATCTTTATAAAATATAATTTTTACTTTTAGTTTTTCATCCTGTCCTTGTATAACTTAAAACTTTTATTAAATATAAGCCCATCTCCTTGTAAATGATATTTCAAATTATTTTATTAAAGTTTTATTTTTCCCATATTACCATTCATTACAAAACAAAGTATTAATACTTATAATCAAATGTGGTTGAGAGCACATTAATAAGGTTTGGTTTGAATTTCACATAAAGCTACACAAGGGCTACTTGTGCTAGCCATCCCTAATTTAGCAGTGAAAGACTAGAGGGAAGGCAGCTTAGTCATCACCACCCACCACCAACTCTTGGGCTACTCTTTTACCAATGAATAGTGGGACTGACCATCACATTATAATACCCCCACGGTTGAAAGGGCAAGCATGTTTGTTGGGACAGGGCTTCGAACCCGCGACCCACAGATTGCGAGTCGAGTGCCCCAACCACCTGGCCATGTTGGGCCCGAGCACATTAATAAAAACAGCTTTAGTTTTATAAAATAACTGAACAAAATATTCAGTTGAAAACTTGGCAAAAATAACAGTATTTATCAGTCATAAAAAAACAGTGTAATATAAATTCTAGAACTTTAGTTATGACTCATATTTGATCTTTTTCATTTATCATTAAACTCCAAACATATGAAGAAGATACAGTGATAGAGGTTTGTAGCATAAATTGACTAGTATTTAATGTTTAGTGAGGAATCTACTAAACAGAATAATTAATTCAAAAATACAATAACAGCAACTTTTACAGTAGGCAAGTTCTGATTTTAATTATTACTTTTTGAATGTAATTCTTACCAGATGATGACTTGATACTATGGTTTGAAATGCTGTAATCATTTAAAATCAGAACTTTCATATTGTAAAAGTTACTGTTATTGTATTTATGATTAGGATTTAGTATTCTTGCCTTACTAACTGAGGTGTTTTTTTGTTCACACAGGTTTTTTCAAACATCTTAAAACTTAATTGTAGTATTTCGGCACTTGTGTATAAAGTTAAAATCATAAATAATATTCAATGTTAAAT